AAGAGCGTGAGCGCTCTTTATTAATATTAAAACTATTTTTTTTTAAATCTAATTTATAAAAAATAATTTATATTAATTAATAATATACAAATTTTAATCCTATTTTTTAAAATAATAATTTAAATATTTAAATTGTTTGATGTACTTCTGTATAGAAAACTTTTCTAGATTATAAAATGTCACGATAACGTATATAAATTATCCTAGAGACTTCTAAGCGCTAAGATAGAACAATGTAAAAGTTTATGTGAAAATGATGAAACGATTAATAATCTTGTCTTTAAAACTGTTCAACCAAGTTAAAGGAATTTTTGTTCTTTCATAATTTATAGATTTTATATATTAAAATATTACTCAAAGTTAAAGATAAAATTGACTTTAAAAAATATATATAAAAATTAAGCAAATTTAATGTTTTAAAAATAAAGCAAAAATATAAATTGAACTGTACAAAAAATAAATAAAACATAAACGAGCAAAAAAAATTAAGATATATGCTCTCCACCTCAAATTACTGCATTGCCCCTGTACATGATACTTTTCCTGATAACAACTGAGTCGTGCCAGTCATCTATGTAACTCCATTCAGGGGAAAATCTTTTAATTGAAATCACGTGACTTCCGCTCTATCCCGGAAGTTCATGTATAGTTAATCGAGGACCTTCTTCCCCTAATATTTCTATATCTGGTCTCGAATTTCATCTATCTAACACCGTTCTCGAGATTAAGAAAGGACAGATAACAGACAAACAGTGAGAATTTATAGGTTTAAATTGCTGCTCAATAATCTACAGGACCCCTAAAAATTCTCAGTTAAAAGCATCTGCATCCGCAGAGGGGACAAATGGAGAACTTGTCCTTCTCTTGGATCGAGTTAAAAATTCACAAATTTATAATCATAACTGTGATTTCAGATATGTAACCTTATACTTTTGACCATTGGACCCCAAAATATTAAATAATTAAACAAATATATATTTGTCTCCAAGCTTTGCTCCCCTGGAAAATTTTTTGCTAATGCCCATAGGAGGCATTTGTTATTTCCTTCAACTTAAAAATTCTAAAAAAATTATGTAAAGAATAAAAGAAAAAAATAAATTTAAAACTAAAAAAATAGCATAAAATACAGGAAAAATATTTTAAAAAACACAGTTAAAAATATAGAAAAAAGTAAAAAGTTTCAAAAAAATGATGTAAACAACTATTTAAATAATTGAAGATTTTATAAAAAATTTTTTTACATTACTCCATGTGGGAATATAAAAATAAAATTTTATTTTTAATTTTTATTTTTAAATAAAATTTTATTTTATTTTAATTCCTTCTGAAATTAAAATAAAATAAAATAAATTAAACGAAACAGTAAAACTAAACTGTAAATATAAAATAAAAAAAAAGTAAAACGAACAGTAAAAATAAAGAAGAAATAAAATTAAATTTAGGAATAAAACGTAAATAATAAAATAAATTTTAATTTAAAAAAAGAAATAAGTCTGTTTACTTAATTTTTGCTTTATTTTCTCTTCTTTTCCTTACGTTCTTAATAAAATTATTGAAAATTTATTGAATCCTTAATTGAATTTTGTGTAACTTAAAATAAAATTTGAAAAAAAATTAATTAATTCTTATTATATTAAACAAATAATTATAAAATTCTTTAACAAAATCCCAAACAAACAAACAAAAAAAATCGCTAAAAATCACAAAAATTTCTTATTATTAAACTGATTTTGATAGAAATTTATTTACTGCCAAATATTTTCATAAATAAATTATTAAATCATTATAAAATAAATAATTCAACGTAATAAATATTTATTTTATAAAATAAATGTTTAATAGAATAAAATGGAAATGGTTATTGCTATTGAATTATAAATTATGTTCTAAAGTCAAACGAACTTGCTTGCTTGTAAACAAAATTAGTTTGAAAATTTCTATTCAATTAAAGTAAATATAACTGTTCAAATAAATTTAGAATTAGTACAAATTAAGAAAGTTAGAAGTGTAATAAGATCTATACAATCGACTAAATTCCCTTAGAGATTCTAATTAGCCAACACGACACTAAGAATATTTCAAAACTGTTGCTAAGTAAAGCACTAATGAATAAGGATATTTTTTAAAATATTATTTAAAAAATATAGAATTTCTAATAATTTTAAGCATTTAAAATAATTTGGATCATTTATTTTTCTAATTTATAACGTTTTATTTGTATTAAAATTCATTCGGATAACGAAGATGAATTTGGAAATTGGATGCTGCTATTGCTATTATTTATAGGGAATTTTTATTTGTTTTAAACGCTAAAATAATTATTAATATTAAAATTATAAACTTATTTATATATACTAAATGAGTGTTTAATAAAGAGATCCGAACCCACTTCTGCGTTTTTTTAGAAGAACGGGTTCGGACCCAAGTTACTGATCTGAACTCACGTCTTGGATTTTTGAGATGGTTTCGTTCCTGTGCTTATAATCTAAACATTATACAAACATGCTTGTAAATACTGTTAAATTTGTCTTTTTTGGGGAGTCGGTTCGGATTAAGGTTAATGATCCAAACCCACGTCCTGACTTTCTGAGGACGTAGACTCCATCTATATCTATGACCAGAACCCACGCTATAGTTATTCCACAAACATGTTTACAAATACTAGAAAAATTCGTAGATACTTATTTATTTTTAATTACTTCTCATGAGAATGAATGTTTGCTAGTTTTATTTGAGAAGAATGAACTCTAATAGGTTTGTAAGCAGGATTATAAACGACAAGAAAGTTAGTGAAGCTGTCTGTTCACTACTTTTTACCTTTCTTCGAGATTATTTTTCTTAAATAATTTTACACATAAATTACTTTATATTTGTAAAAGAAGGATTATGTGAAACAAGATGTCAAAAAGTTGGAAAGATACAGAAATTACAATTAATAGAAAAGTACGAAAGACACTTGTGCACGTTTCTATTGTTATTTTATTTATCTTTTTCTTTATTTAATTGGATCTATAATATGTTATTTCTTTCTAAAAATATTACTACAATTATTAGCTACCAAATAAGCTTCTAGTTTACATAAGAATTTTTGAATTCTTTATTATTTAATGATGTAACTAATTTTTATGGGGTACAAAATCTTTATTTTGTACCCTATAAAGATTGGTTATATTAATGCATGATTCTCACATTTATATACTCGTTATGGTTGTTTCTAAGAAGTGAAATGAGGAATTTTTTGCAGTATGACATCATTTGATCATAAGCTTCCATTTTTCATCTTTTAGTTACTATTCTTCAGGAAACAAAGAGGTTGGCAGATTAGCAACGTGTGAGCAAAATGGTACCAGGAGGTAGACAAAAGCTTACTTTGATTTTAAAATAATTATAGGCCCTATAGTATAACTGAAAGACGTGGGTAAGAATCACAATCAAGAAATCGAACCCATGTCTTTCAGTAATTCTGTGTGTTTAAAACTTGTGTCGAGATTTATACACTTCAGTATCTCTGCCATGAATTTTATTATTGTAATTATCAACTGAACTTACAAGGTGTACTGTAGCTGGACCATCTATGTAGGTATGGTCTGTGGGTTTTCCTGTTACAGGTCAAAAACTCTGATGAAACTGATAACCACTTACGGTAAACCTCTGTCCAGAGGAATTTAGAATTCTGGTGGGTTCAGTTCTCACCTCCAGGTAGATTCCCTGTGGAGACCATACTGTTAGGACTCGAGTTTTTAAACTTTACGGCCACGACAGCAAGTTATTAACTCAATAATTTCATATCTATGGAAATAATAATCACTTATAATCAATATTATATCTACTGTATATATAGCTTGAATCAGGATGATCTACTTAACTTACTATTTCATGCTTCTGTAAGCACTAATCCACAAAGAAAAAACTTTTTAGAATCTTAAACAAATAAAATATAAGTTTTTCTTAAAAGTTGGCAAAATAATTTATAAAATTAATTTTATAAATCTTTTATCAATAATAATATATATATGTATATTTTTTTAAAACTTTAAGTCTAATTAGTAATAATAAAATTGCTTTGTTAGTGATGATACTTATATGATAAATAATGATAAAAAATTAGTGAATATTTTAGAAAATACAATTTTTACAAAACTTTTTCATTTTTTTAATTTATATTTTTTTTTATAATTTAGATTTTTAAACGTTTAAAAATATGTTTAATTTCATTTTCTTAATATTTAATTACATAAAATACAGTTTTTGAACATAGTTAAAGCTCTCCTTTTCTTAGTTGATAAATTAAAGATTTCAACACGAAAATATATATAAAAAAATTCGAAATTAATTAACTAAAAACTATAAGAAAAATATTTAAATCCTATTTTTTTATTTGCATAGAAAATTTTTCATTTGAAAACATATATAATATCCAGACATTTAAAGCAATTATCTGTAAGCAATTGTTTGAATCGATTGACATAAAAAGAAATATGATGAACACATCTTGCCTCATGTAAATTCTCATATTGATTAAATGAGAATTAATGTATTGTATGATCTTTTTGAAGTTTAAATTGAGTTACAAGTTTCTTAACATTATATCGTAAATGCGTGAAAAGTGGCAGAATTTTCTTAAATTTAATAAAGACCATGGAAAGTGGATAATATATTTAATTAATATACATAAAGTTTTTTTAATTGAATTATTTGTCTAAATGAATAAGAGAGAAGATTTTTAGAAGAATTTTCTTTTACTAGAATAGAAATAAGTTTAAAATGTGAGATAAAAATCATAAATTTATTTTATTTTATCAAATTATTATAAGATTTACGCCATTTTTATAACCATACTTGTTTACTTTTTAAGTTATAAACTTTGATTTTTAAATAACTAAAATCGAAACATATGAAAGACGTGGGTTCGATCCCTTGATTGGGATCCGAACCCACGTTCTTCAGTTATACTCTATGCCTATAATTATTTAAAAATTCAAAAAAAAAAATCAAATGAAAATTTCAATATAAACTGAAATTTATGCTTGTCTCATTGAAAACAATAGGAGCAATTCGGGTTTTCAAGTACCAATATAAAATTGAGAGCAACACAAAAATTAATTTGAAAATCAATATTTATATGAATGTTCAAGTAAATAATTTGTTTATTTCACAATTCCTTGTGTTCTTTTTAAAGTTATGCAAAATTTTAATGGTTAATGTTCCTGAAAGCAAAGTTGTCGTAGAGTAGTTCTGGCTTTCGTGACATTCCAGCAGTTTTATTAAGCTTCTAAGATTTCTTGATAACCAATATTTTACGTAAAATTAAAATAAATTATTGGTGATCAGATGTGTTATATACATTAAAGTAAACCAATTAGTATGCCAGCTTCAAAAGACATTGAAAACTATTGTTCTAATTGATTTATTTCTTGTTGAATGGTACATTTCACATGCCATCTCTTATTATTTCTAATAATTTTTTTTAATATATGATCTACTCTTTCAAGAATTCAAGAGCTTAGAGCCTTTGAACTTCTATGTTCTATGCTTAGAGCGTTTGAGCCAAAATTAGAGCCTTTGTGGTAAGCTCAAAGGCTGAAATTTTGGAAGGTCGTAAAGTTCTTTTGATACTGTGTTGTAAATTTTTTTAAAATAATAAATGATTTTAAATTAGTTACATTATAATAGTACATAAGTTAAGTATCTAGCAACAGACAATTTTCAGCAAAACATAAACTTTATAAATTTCTCAATACCAAAGTTCATGTTAAGAGCCTATAACATCATAAAAAAAGGAAGAATTCATATTTCTAAATGATGCAATTTTTGATAATTTATTTTATTTTAGGAATCATCACAAAATGAATTAACATTAAGCAATGTCGCAGGCTGTTTCTACATTCTGATAGGTGGATTGATTTTAGCTATGGTCGTTGCATTGATAGAATTTTGTTACAAATCAAGATCAGAAGCATCAAGATCGAAGGTAAATTCAAAAATATATTGAAATTATTCAATATATTATAAGTGAAAAATTTAATTTATTATATAGAATTGTAAAATCTGTTAACAGATGAGCCTATATGATGCCATGAAATCCAAAGTTAGAGTATCAATCACAGGAGGTCCAAACGGAGATACAGGAAGGGTACGAGCAGGCTCTATTTAATTGGGTAAAAGTGTTTGATTTCAGAAAATAAACCACGCTTTAATATTTTTATAGGAGGATAATTTTATAATTTTGGGGTTAATTATTAATTAACAATATCAAGTGTATTTAAGCAACCCTCTTAGTGCCAGATTTCAACTTAAACCAACAACATAATCTTTATGTTTAATGTATTTTAATAATAATATAAGATGTTTTCTTTTTAACTTAAATCTCGATTTTCTGTGTACTGATGTTTGTGTACAAGCCATTTTAGTGTATAGCTTGTTAAGGTAAGGTACTCAGAGGGTTAGACAATCAACCTGTATAATCTGTGTACTAAAAAAACAGATTATAAAGGTTATAAATCTTTAAAATTAATAAATTATTACATTATAAAACAATTTAAAATCTTCCTATAATTAAGCATTACGTTTTTTTAGTTCTATTCACCAGCATCCCACCTCATTACAGTGGATGGACTAACAGATACTATGAATCCAAATACTCATACACAAGTATAAAGAAGACTCAAGAAAAAAATTTAATAATAAAAGTTGAAGAGGAACAAAAAATGATGTTTACTAAACTACAAAATAAAGATATTTCTGAAGGAAGAATTTAAAAAAAAACTAATTTTAAATCATTATATTAAAAATTTATAATTTTTTGAAAATTTCAAAGAAAAAAAATCTAAAAAAAGCAATTTTTTATTACTAGAAAGCACATTAAAATTTTAGAACAATTTCATATAGAAATTTAATTATGAAAATTATAATAAAAATATGTTTTAGGTGATGCACATGAATGCTGAACCGCACAAAGCACGAACACAAAATAAAATAGATCATAATATGTTTTC